CAGTAGAAGTCAGGACACTTCCAAACGTGTGTTATCTTTGATGACAGGGCCAGGAGTAGAGAGAAGATGGGAAAATAGCTTGGGAAGGTAAGCTGGAGTCCAACCTGTAAGAGAAAGGAAATGAACATGTATATTATTTCCTTGAAGGCTGACACCACCTTCTAAAGTTTACTACCCAGTTGGGGGTGGTGGGAAGCCCTAAGGATCGCAAGGGTCTGATCTGCAGTGGGGATGGCCCAGGAACGGGGCAGTGTTTCCTTCCATTGTGTATGGAAAACACCCGTTCACGTGAGGCGCCTGAGGCTGGGAGAGGGCAAGTGGCATGAGCTTATGAGCCAGCAGACAAGCGGAGCCGGTGGAGTCCTGAGTTCCATTCCCTGCATTCCACTTGATGGAGCGTGCTCTCTCTCCTCATTTGCCACTTGCTAAGAGAACACCAGCAGAGCCCACCTTGTGAGCAGAGCTTCTTGGGAACATTCAGCCGAAAAATACCTGGGCAGGAACTGTTGGCTTTAAAATGGCCAAGTCAGGATTCAAGCCCGCGTCGTCTGGGGTCAAGGTGCTTTCCACGCAGACCCTGCCGCCTCTGTCGACTGTGAGGAACCTTTTGGGGAATGCCAAGAGAATCTGGTGTTGAACCTGTAGGCATCCTCGAGCACGGCAGCTTTTTTCAGCCGGGCAGTGACTTGCACTCGTTTGGGTATTTGGAAGATGACCGTGCGGGAGGGCCAAGGCTGGGGCCGAGGGAAGGGAAGGGAAGAGAGGAGGGAGAGGACAGGCAGAAGAGGGAATCACAGGTCCTGGTGGCTGATTGGGTGGCGATGGTGCGAGTAACAGGCAAATAATCCTCCCTGGGGGGCGCAGCTCTGAGCTCCCTGCAGACCAAACTGCTGGCAAGTTGAGTCCGCTCAGAGGCACGTTGGAAGGAAGGCCTGGCAGTCCTAATCTCACAACGCACAGGGGTGGTTGTGAGTGGGAACTGACTCAAGGAAACTGGTTTGCTTTCTCTCTCTTTAAATCCTCCAGAGACGTCCCTTCACCAAGGGATCTGTCAGAACACCTCAGCTTCACTCACAAAGCCCTCTGTTGTTTGCTACTCCTCTAGCTTCCTCTCACCTTGGCGTAGTGGTTAAGCACT